GAACATCATTCTCATTTGATTTCAAGCAACTCTTCAATGATTTTAATAGCGTCTCATAAGCAATAGAGCCCAGTTGAAGGAAGCGCAAAGTGCATCATCGTCAACAATTTTCATTATTTGCTTTGATACATTCCTATTTTTCCTCTTGCCCATCAAAAACGACTCAACAATATAGAGTGTTGCCAACTTCAAAGCATCATCATCACTGCCAGCAAATGATGAAGTTGTACCATGTGGGTGACTAGAAATAAAACTATACAAATCAGCAAACTCAATTTTGTCCTTTCCAGGGAAATAGACTCTTAAAAGCCTATTCTCTTTCTCATTTAAACCTTTCATGTCAAGAGACGAATAAGACTTCAAACCAGTAATAATATGGAATGCATCACGAGTAAACTTAATATCGCGGTCAAATACCTTGAAGGTCATCGAATCAGGTTCATTACTAACAATTTCAGAAAGCAATACACAGTGCATAAGTTTACCCGAGAACTTCACACTTTGTAATCTGAAGAAGTTGCCAAAAATACTTTCCCTCAATTTCTTCCATTGGCTATTCGACAGAAAACTTTTAATTGTTTCCTTATATTGAAAATCTCCTTTCCAATATACCAGAAAATTACGCCAATCGTCAAAATCAAAAAAATGATCGCCTTCCATTATAACACTAGAAAAGAAGGAAAAACAAACAAAGATTAGGACTTAACTTAAAATTTCAAGTTTAAAAGTTAAGCAAATACAATCCTTAACTTTAAATTTTAAGTGCAAAGGTTAAGGAAATACAGTCCTTAACTTATACTTTCAACTTCCAAAGTTAAGGACACTTAGTCCTTAACTTCAAGTTTCATGTGCAAAAGTTAAGGACAATAAGTCCTTAACTTTAAATTGTAAATGCAAAGGTTAAGGAAATACAGTCCTTAACTTATACTTTCAACATCCAAAGTTAAGGACACTTAGTCCTTAACTTCAAGTTTCATGTGCAAAAGTTAAGGACAATAAGTCCTTAACTTTAAATTGTAAATGCAAAGGTTAAGGAAATACAGTCCTTAACTTATACTTTCAACATCCAAAGTTAAGGACACTTAGTCATTAACTTCAAGTTTCATGTGCAAAAGGTTAGGACAATCAGTCCTTAACTTTAAATTGTAAGTGCATAGGTTAAGGAAATACAATCCTTAACATATACTTTCAACATCCAAAGTTAAGGACACTTTGTCCTTAACTTCAAGTTTCATGTGCAAAAGTTAAGGACAATCAGTCCTTAACTTTGAATTCCAACTACAAAATTTAATGTCGTTTCTTCCTTACATTTAATGAACACAGTTAACATATAATGCTAATTTTTGAAATTTCACACATACTTCACACGGCATTGAACCAACTTACAAATAAAGAAAAACAAAAATGCATAAAAAAAAATATATTACCAGTCGCGATTGACAGAAGATGACAGAGAAGATGAAGGAGCAGAAGTTTAACTGAGATTGCAGTTTGCATACGAGGAGGATGAAGAAGCGCAGAACTCTGAACGAATGAAATAAGGGTTTTCGTCGATTTTGGGATTATACAAGAAATAGAGAAAGGGTAATTGTGTCTTTCCCCCCTTAGTAGTGGCTATTTTTGATAAGCATTTTAAATAGTGGATAAAAATTAAATACACCCTTATTTAGTGGCTACTACACGCCATTTTTACTCGTTTGGAAGTTGGGGGACGTTAGACTTGGTAAATGCTAATCATTTGGTACACGAAGGATGATTCTCTCGATAAAACAAAGTATAGGAATGAGACAAAAGAACCAAGCTGACATTTCCCATGGGTGTTAGGGGAACTATGGACACTTACCATTTTTTTATGTGTGCAGGTTATACCCTTCGCTCTCTTTCGATTCTTGTAGTTCCGGACTTTATCTACTAGTTACTGTTTTGTTTTTCATCTATTTTTTGGTTTTTGAGATGCTGCTATGTTTTTCTATAATTTTTTTTTATGATTTTTATTAATGATACTAATATATAGTGCTCGTTTGGATTGGCTTATTTTGAGTGGCTTTAAGACAAAATAACTTTTAAGCCATTTTGTAGTGTTTGCATAGAGTAAAAAAGTGCTTTTTAAGCACTTGTTTTTAGGCTAAAATGAAAAAACAAGCCAAAAACTAAAAACTAGAATTCCTAACTTTTGGCTTAAAAGCTATTTCGGCTTAAAAGTCACTTAAAATAAGCTCATCCAAATGGGCAAATTGTCTTTTTCGTCTTCTTGAGCCGAGGATCTATCATAAACAACCTCTCTATCCCCTCGGAGTAGAAGTAAAGTCTGCGTACACACTACCCTCTCCAGACCCCATTAATAAAATTTCATTCTGTGTTGTTGTTGTTATACCCTTCGCTATAATAACTAAAGTTAACATTAAGTTTGTTTCTTCTCTTATCGGTGTAATTAGGATTTGTCTTTTCAATGCATGAAAAAAGAAGAAAAAGAAAACACCACACCTAAGCATGTAATTACTTGTGCTTGCATACTTTAAAAATTTCACATATAATTTGGGGAAAATTACAGAAATAGCCAATTTTAACTCAAACTTACCAACCTCTAGCCAAAAATTAGACAGTTACCAAAAATATCCGAAAATTAGAGATACACGCAAGGAATGATTCTTCCATCCGAGAATCATGCTAAAGATCTTCTTTCCTTTCCTGTTTTTTAAGCGTATCAATTTTACAAAGACCTACATTCTGTAAATCACGACTTTCTCTCCCAAATATTTCTCAAAAGGAGCTCCAAATTTCACTCAAAAATCGATCAATTTCACTGTAGAAGCAACCATTTCATTTCGTGATTTATGTGTAGATACAACTTTGATGAAAGAACTACGAACTACAATCAAAATCAATCAAGGGATTACTGAGTTTTGGCCTAATTTCAACTATTTCAATGGCAAATTCACCAATTTTTATTCAATATGGTGGCCGATGGAATGTTGGCAATAATTTTGTGGATTACATGTGATGACCTTTTTTAAAAATAAAATTCTGCGTTCCGAGGCCTTAAAAAGCTCTTTCTGTCTCACCTCGATTTGCGTGCCCAGTCCGGGCACGTATCCGGAAAGCCAATATGTGAGAATACGTGAAAAATGATAAATTTTCACTATAAAATGAATTAAGTTGACTTCGGTCAATATTTTGGGTAAACGGACCTGGACCCGTGATTTGACGGTCCTCGGAGGGTCTGTATGAAAATATACGACTTGGGCGTATGCTCGGAATCGAATTCCGAGGTCCCAAGCCCGAGAAATGAATTTTTAAAGAAAATTATTTTCTGAAATTATTTATGAGATTTGGAAATGAATTTTGATTAGAACTTGATGGTACCGGGCCCGTATTTTGGTTCCGGCGCCCGGTACAAGTCTTATATGTGATTTAAGATAAGTTTGTAAAATTTGGTATGAAACGGATTTGAAATGACGTGAATCGGATCGTTATTGGAAAAATTGGAAATTTGAAGTTCTTAAGAAAATTTCATGATTTTGATGCAAAATTCATAGCTGTTGATGTTATTTTAGTGATTTGAACGCACGAGCGAGTCCGTATGATGTTTTTAGGTTGGTGTGCATGGTCAGTTTGGAGTCCCGAGGGCTCGAGTGAGTTTTTGGATAGGCTACGGGGTGAAACTTTAGATTTGAAAAATTACAAGTTTTTAGCTGGTGTGTTCAGGCCTGCATGCGAAGCCTAGCTCGCAAATGAGATATCGCAAATGCAAGGGCTATGTCACAATTGCGAAAGCATCCCAGGCCAGACCATCTCGCAATTGCGAGGTTTTGATGTGAGAGGCTTTTTGCAATTCCCAACATAGCAGGGGTCGGGGTTCGCAATTCCCATATCTGCAACCTGCAATTTTTATACTTAGCCAAAAATCAACTATTTTTCACATCTTTTCAAAACACAAACTCCCTAGGGCGATTTTTCAAGAACAACTCTTCTTCCAAATCGATTGTAAGTCCATTTTAACTCGTTTTCTTCTATCATTAACATCTTTTCACATGATTTCAACTCAAAATCAATGATTTTCATGGGGGAAATTGAGTGCTTTGGGTAGAACCCAGGTTTTTCAAAAATTGGGGATTTGGACCTCAATTTGAGATTCGATTTCAAAACAAATTATATATTTGGGTTCGTGGGGAAATGGTTAATCGGGTTTTAGTTCGAACCTCGGGTTTTGACCATATTGGCCTGGGGGCAATTTTTGACTTTTTGGGGAAAACTTTAGAAAACTCATTTTCATGCATTGGAGTTGATTCATTTAGCGTTTATTGATATAATTAAGTAACTTGTGACTAGATATGAGCGAATTGGTGATGGAATCAAGGGGTAAAGCGATAATTGAGACGTGAATTGTATTCCTGGTATCGAGGTAAGTGTTTGGTCTAACCTTAGCTCGAGGGATTAGGGGTCGAGTCCTAATTGCTATGTGGTAATTGTTGAGTACGACGTATAGGCATGGTGACGATTATCTATATGTTGGTGTCTAGCATGCCCATGAGTCTTATATTGTGATTTTCATGACTTCATTGTATTATTCATGCCTTGATGAAGATTTTCTATTTATTGTGCAAAGTTTGTGGAAGGAATTGTGACCTATGAGCATCGAGGAGCGTTGGCTCAAGTTGTGTAATGGATTGTGAAAGTATAAGTGGACTTGTTGTTGAATTATTGGCTCAAGTTGTTGTTTTGATGTTGTCCCTTGCCGGGACTTGTTGTTGAATTATTGTTCCCTTGCCGAGATTCTTGTTGCAACTTCATTTACTTCCTTGCCCTATTGCTTGTGATTGTTTTTTGGGTGAGGAAGAGAGTTAAAACATGAAGGGTGATGTCGTGCATTGTTTTGGTAAGAGGGTGTTAAAACACGAAGGGTGATGCCATGTATGATTTGTGAGGAAAGAGTGTAAAACACGAAGGGTGATGCCGCGTCGCACGATGTACCATTCCGTGCTGATTATATTGATTATATGGTGGGGACGAGAATAAAAGTACGAAGGGTGATGCCGTGTACATTTTCATTACTTGATTGCTTGGTGAGGACGAGAGTAAAAGCACGAAGGGTGATGCCATGCACTTATTGATTTCTAGTTCTTTGTTGATATTCGAGATATATTGTTTTATTTCAATTACCTGTTGTCTTTCTATTCTTGATATCTCCCCCATAACATGCTACCTCTCCCATATTTGAATGTTTATTATTGTTCTTCCTTTCCGCTATATATAGTTGAATTGCACAGGTTGTTTGGTAGTCTGGTCCTAGCCTCGTTACTACTTTACCGAGGTTAGGCTAGGCACTTACCAGCACATGGGGTCGGTTGTGCTGATACGACACTCTGCACTATGTGCAAATCCTGGAGCAACTTTTGGACCGTAGATTGGGTGGCTACCTTCAGTCCACGGAGATCTAAGGTAGACCTGCAGGCGTCTGCAGGCCCTAGCGTCTCCCTCTATCCCTTTTATCCATGTTTCATGTCCTTCAATTCAGAAACAATGTATCTTTTATTTCAGACTTTGTATGTAGTAAAATCTTAGATCGTTTGTGTTATTGTGAAACCAGTTCCGGGAGGTTGAGGTTCAAACTATTGTACTAGACGTATATTCAGATATTTTATTGCTTTTCTTCCGCTTAC